TTATAAAGTTATATTAGTTGCTTAAGTTTAATTTTTATTATAAAGTTAGGTATTTAGGTTTTATTGTAAATACAATTTATACTGGTAGGATATCAATTACACTCAATGTATTTGTATAAGGAACCATCAGCGATACCCATTCGGATGGACATTTTACTTCCTCAATAATGTCTAAGGCGAGTAACTCTTCTAGTTTTCTATTAATTTTTGATTCTAATGGAATGGCTACCCTTCTATAGGACTGTCTTACTGGTGTAACTGTTTTGTCTATGGGAATGTTAACAACAATATCTTTTACTTTGATACATTTACATTGTTTACGTTTAAACCAACTCTGAGGACATTTAAAGCTTTAGTAGTATCTTTTCCTAACTTAAAAGGTTGCTAATTAATGTTTATTTGCAATTTTTATATAACATGGAGTTCTGCCGCTCACGAAATGCGGAGAACTATTGTACATCATTAGATAGTCAAGCAAATCCTGTTGTCAATTTTTTTTTTAGTGCTTGACTATTTTTTAATCTTTTATGTATTGCTCGGTTTTAACATTCAATCTCGCCATTCATTTGTGTCCAGTATGGTATAGTATAATACATTTTAATGCAATTCTTGGTAATGAAAGTTTTTATTTCTTCGTTAATAAATTGCCTTTCATTGTCTGCTGTATCAGGCACAGGAAATCCAAGTCTGGAATATATTTTTTTTAAATCCTCTATCGTATTTGCTGAAGTTAGGTTTTTAATTTCCTTATATCTACTAAAATAATCAATAATTTTGACTCATAACTACGATGGCTATGTCTATCCAAGGCCCCGATGGCGTTTCCTCCATTTTCATAGGGTATGGTGCAAATGGAGAGGATACCAAAGTAAAACCTCTACATGATTTAATCATTTTCTCTACTTGATCATTAATTTTTGGCCACCAAACTTTTGTACGAAATCTACATTTCATGGATACTATATTCCAGGGTGTCCCTCATATGCAGCATTTAATACACGTTGTCTCAGTTCTATTGGTATCATAATTCTACCCCCTCCTAATAAAATTTCGTCGTTGAAGCAAAATTCTTCTTGAAATATCCTGCACAATCTTGACAGTGGGTCTGCTATATTGGTCTTTCCAGGTAAATAAACGATTTTGTATTTAAAAGATTGTAATCGTACGACTCATCTCTCAATATGAGCATATGGAGGTGATCTTGGTCCAAATATTGTTACCAACGGCTTATGATCAGTTACAAGTTTATATTCTTTACTATTGGGAGAAATTTGAAGTGCTATACGGCCCAAACCAGTGCAAATGATTCTTTTTCAGTTTGACAGTACCATTTCTCCGCGTGTGTTAAGCTTTTATTTCGAAATGCCATTACTTTTGGTACTCCTGTGTCAATTTGGATAAGTACAGCTCTTAGTCCTACTGGGCTTGCGTCTGCTATTCTTTGGCATCTATCCGTCGAATTATAGTAACCCAATGTACGTAGATTTGACAAAATCCCTTTTAACTTCTTAAATCATTTACTTTGTTCTTGTCTTAAAGGTTCTGATAATGTTGGGAAAGCATTTATCAATGAAAACTATGAACCTCGCCTATGTTGGATGGTGTTCTAAATGTCTACATGCTATTTATATAAAATTGTAACGGTCTGATGTCCTTTTCTGATAGTGTGTGACCTAGGAATTTAAAATTTCTGTTACTAAATAAATTTATCTTGATTAAGTAATACATTTTTCTGTTAATGTTTTTAATGTGAACTTAACTCTTTTATCATGCTCTTCTTCGGTTTTGTCAAATCATCGTTGCATTTATCCCAAATAAAAGTGTCGTATGTCTCTAGAGTGCTCTACTGCTAATAAACGTTGCAATGTACCGTGACTTAGGCCAAATTTCTATTTTAGTCCAGTAACTGAAGGGAACAACCTGTCATTAAGTCGGTCCAGATTTCCGTTGTGGCTCAACTCTTAGGTCTCGGCGGTCGCTTCCAAGGTCGAAAACTTTTACCAACTATGCTGCGTCGGAAAGGGCCCAAAATGGACCCTAAAACTGGCTTCCCGCCAATATCTTCCAGAATATGCAAATTAGAGAATTTTTGTTTAAATACAAAAGAAAGATATTATCATTATCTACAAAAATGGTCCCTATCATTTTTGTCGGAAATTCGACAGGTTTCGAGATAACCGCAATCAAAAGTCCCTCGTTCAGCCCCTGCTTCATCTCTATAGCAATGCTGATTAGCTTGTAAACGGGTTGACAAATTGTTTCAGAACTCGGTCAAATATTGATATTTTTCGATGATTCAAAGTTCATTACAATGGGAAAATCCATAGGTATCGATCCATGTGCTTTGAAACCCGTTATTTTCTGTCAAGAACATTGAAAAAGAGGTCAAAGTTGCGTTTTCCTACTATTTTGGACCACTTTATAGTAATTCATTCATTTTTTTTTTCTTTTAATAGTTTTTTATCCCATTTTTGTTTTAAATGGGATCTTGAGATGTCTCGAATGATCTCAGAAATTTTTTTCCAGTATCTTCCTGGCGTTTTAAAACAAAATTGATTTATTTATTTGTATTTTTCATACGTTTCCGGAGTTCTAGAAATCTTTGAAACAAGCAGTAATTAAAAACTCATATTTCATTATAATGTTATTGAATGCACACCATTTTAAAGCTTAGAGTGTCTACTTTTTAAATGTATTTTTTTTAATAAAGTTGCTCCATTTTTCAGAATTTGGGAAAATTGATCACACCGGGGAAAACCGGACCTTTTTTTTAATACTTCTTGTTCCCCGCTGTTAATTTTTTGAACATTAATACCCAGACCGAAGTGAAGCTGATATTCTCACCTTTCCATTTCTATCAATTTAGTTTGTTAGAATTATCTCCCCCATTTTTACGCTCTCCGCCTGAGATCTATGATATTCCATCATAATCTAACCACGTGTACCCACGCGCCACGCGCTCACCCTAATCAAAGTATCAGAGATAAGGGAGATAAAGATAGGAAACGCTCATAATTAATAAATAAGAAGGTCCATAAGTAATAATTTCTATTGTTATCAAAAATCAAAACCCTGTGGACCTACCAACTTTCAAGTCTCTAGCTCATCCGGACGTAGGTAAAAAACTTGAAATTTATCAATAGTAGTGATACTTATAATACTTATAAATATAAAACTGCCTAATGACCAAACCTTTATTTTAAATTACAAAAGAGTTTTACTTCAAATTACGTCGAGCAGTGTAAACATCACATTCAAGATGAGTTCAAAATTCGAGCAGTGTTTTACTGTGTCGTTCCGTCAATAACGTCAAAAGAGAGAAACAGAAAATTTGCACCACCCAAGATCAAAGGCACCGACGCTTTATGTCGCTACTCAACGGTTAATATACTTTGCCCTAATCGTCTGCTTTTGTTGGTATTAAATCTCTGTTGTTTTTGGAGTCGTTATTGTCGGTTATTATATATTTCTTTCGTATATTTAAAGAAAATTCACAATTCTGTGTTCGAATAGTACAATAATAAACAATGATTACTTTTCTTTTCTATATTTAACACAAATGAGTTAAAGTGGAATATATATCGAAGATTTGGGGTTGAGGTAAGTCTTTTGTTGCTATATCTATCATATAATTATTTCTACTAATGTTATTCTTTTTTTTTAGGTTAAAACAAACATAAAATAGAAAGCCCTTTAGATACAGAGCTTTTAGCGGCACTTCTAGAAGATTTGCTTTACAAAGTGAGTGTAAATTACCAGAAAAATTAATAAAATTAAGTGTAAAAGGGACGCGGTCCCCGGAACTCTTGATGATTTTTTGTCAGTGCAAGAGAGGCTGCGAGAAAATTGTTCATGTTTGAAAGCCGGACTGAAATGCTCGCCTATCTGTGGTTCGTGTCAGTCGACACAGTGTTTTAAATATAACAAAAATGGAGGTATTTTCCCGGACGAATTAGAGATGGATCCAGACCCAGAAGGGGTTGAAGGGGAGGAGGATGAATTATCTGTCAAGACAGCAACACAGGGGTTGGAAAAACAGGAGGAAGGGACGCGTGGAAGAGGGGAAGGAATAAAGCAAGAGCAAGACGATGAAGAGTATGATTCTGATGACATTGAATGGTTTAACGTATGATAAATTATAAGCATTGCTATGTATTTCGTATTTTCAACATGTTTTTCATAATAAAAGAAATTTTTCAGAAACTTTCTTATTTGTCTGAAACCCTGGACCTATATTGTTTCGATAGAAGTTGGCGAAAATTTTGTAAAAGACGCAGAAAATATAAAGGGTCTTCTCGGGTCAATATTCATCACACTCTAAAACTAATAACCCACTATTAGGTAAAGCGCCGGGATTTGAGCTGCCATATAAAAAGAATTTTTTTGCACTTTTCTATTAAATTTTGCAACGCAAATTTCACAGAACATTCGGCAATAGAGATGAGACCCCCCAAGCGCTACTTTACAGAAAAAATCCCGTAGAATCCGCCAATAATTGTCGAAAGATCGATTGGTGCCTGGATTTCCATTCATAGGCCCCATAATTTAGTAAGCAGAGGTATGCCGCTGGCGCCATCTACAATTGGTCTCCAAAGTCCAAAACATGAAAATCAATGTATTCCCAACTCTCTCGAGCGGAAATTCAATGAGAAGCTAACATTTCTATTCAGTGCAAAAATTCGGGCTAAAAAAATGGTAGGGACCATTTTTTTAGATAATGATATGATCTTCATTTTTTTTAAACAAAAATTGTCTAATTTGTATATTTTGGCAGATATTAGCGGGAAACCATTTTTTCGGACTTTAGGGGTCATTTTGAGCCCTTTCCGACCCAGCAGTGTTGGTAAAAGTTTTCGCCCTTGAAAGCAACCGTCAAGACCTAAGAATTAAGCCACAAAGGAAATCTGGACCGACTTAATTTTCAGTTCTTCAGTTACTGAACTATTTGGTAAAAATCATTTTTTATATCCAACATAAAAAATATTTTGCCTTACTCAAATATGGTAGACGTGAAACTATTAAGGAAGTGAGTGGTTTTCTCTAAGAATTGCAGTATTAGCTTTTTTCATATCAATACAAATTATTACATTCCAGTTCTCCTTAAGTTTCTTTTAAAGTGTGAGTGAATATTTGGCAAAAGGGAAAACATTACAATACTACTAACTAAATAGTAATTTAATGTCATAACGGCATTCTTCTTTAATTTGCTCCTAAACTCACTTTAATCTAAAAATTCTGCCATAGAATGAATTTAGTTAAACATAATATTTGGTATCTTAAACCGATATTATCTTCTTTTACTGTTTAAATAAAATAAATAATATGATGTGCTACATGGTAAATTAAATATATACCAATACTAGCACATTTTATTATTTATTAAAACATCAATTTTTTATCAAAACTATACATACATGAACGATATTATTTTAAATAAAAGTATTCATATTAAAATTGTACAAATCAATAACTCATCGTCGATATTAAACAAAATCGAAACGTTTTATAAATATTTTGAAATGCTTTGGAGTGCTCTATGTTGTTATACATTGAAAAAATGCCATGATTAATGATCGTTATGGCTTTGTATTATAGAGCGCATTTCGTTCGAAAGGTACCTTTATATTTCAATATAACTAGAATTTTATTTCACAATACTGACAATAAATTTGAATCGTAATAACGAATTGTTTGTAACAAAATGATCGATGGAAATTCGTGAAATACCTAGTAATAAAAACTCCAGCAAATCAAAGCGTACGTTGAATATTTTCCGAATACATTTTCCCATATAAATCCTCGCAAATATGTACGTGATGAAATAAAAATTGAATCAAAACAAAACCTAAAATTGAATATCAGGAAAATCTTAGGGACGGAAACCGTTGAGTGTATTACATTTTTTTTACACGATAACCCAAAGGAAGACAAATTGAAACCATAATATCGTGAGGACATCTTGGACTAAAACAACACAGTCGAAATTGAGAGGGGAAGTTTTTTTTATAACCTTCTTAGTTTAAAGAAATCCGAATTTATAAAAAATACGTCTATACTGTTGCTTGAAATGTTACGGTTTTGTAGATATTATATTTTATATTCGTAAAAAATATATAAAAAGTTAATTTCATACGCAAGTTATGATCTCCTGGGTGTGATGTTGTCGCTTTGATGTCTGATAATTACAATTCTGATTGTTATTTTAGAGCAGACTCACAGCAATTTAACCCTTTTTTTAAATAGATAAAATTTTAAGACGTAGCACATTGCTTTATTTATTTTTTTGACGAATTTTGGATATAGGTAAAATAATGTCCCATATCAATATTTTTGTGTAAACTGTGGTGTACATTAGGACTCACAGAGGTTACTAAGCCTATATCTACAATAAACAAATTATACTTACAATTACACTTAGCTGCAAAAAATTTTTTTTTTGGTGTGGTACATTGTAAAACAGAAGTAGATTCAAGCACTGAAAAAGTGTCAAATGCTTGGTCCTCTGTATCTGTATTATCTTCTAAAACTGGGAATTCTTCATCATTACTTTATCACTACTAAGAGTTTCTGCACAGGAACCAGGTAGCAATATTACACATTTTTACCATAATATCTCGCATTTTCTTTAAAAAAAAAGCCATCGTCATCTTCACTTAGAAATTCTATGTCAGACATCATTTTCTAGATAATAAATTAATTCTTCTTTAGACAACACTTTTCTCTTAATTTTCTGTGTTTGAATAAAAAATCTGTAAGAACGTTTCAAAATCGTTTTTAGAAAATTTTGTGAGGTTAAGAAAACAGTTCGCACATTATAGTTGTCAATCCTGACGTACACTATAGTGCACGATTTTAACAACAAAAAGGAAACATTATTTCTGAAATATAAGCTAAAGCGTCATATATACAATTTTTAATAACAGATTTGTGTAATATAAAGAATCAACATCTTTATATAGAGCAATCTGGTAGTACAAATCAAGAACTAATAAGTTTGTCTAGCAGTTCATAGATGGCGGCACAAGTGTTTTTAGTTTCGTTTAAGTGCATACAAAAGGGTGTACAATATGACTACTGAGCTGAAATTAATTTCTTATTGTATTTATTTCAAAGTAAAACTACTGTACAGGGTGATTCTTTTATCATGGGAAATGAGTTTTTCTCGTAAATGGCTGCAGCAAATTGGGTTCTGTAAAAAGTATTTTATTTGGGCTGGTTATTGCTTGAAATTGGGATGGATAAGGAAGTTATAAATAAACGACGCTGGGCGTCGCGACGCTTTAAATTTTTTTTTGTCAGAAGCATACCATTTTTATTTCAGAAATTGAAAGATCTATTCAATAAAAACACTTTTTTTAAATACTATTTTTTTCCATCTAAAACCATTCAAAAATTACAGACCAGTTTTTATGTTCCAAATTTCTAGATTGCCATACAAAGAATGCATGGTATTTTAAATTTCACTAAATCAGGTAGGCTTTGAAAAAACATAATTGGCTTATATTGATTGATGTCTGAAACTGTCAGTGTAATTTCAATTATTCCTATTAAAATAGTGAGTAATAAGAAATATGTTTACACATTCAGATAAAGTTGACATGTTTCTTTTATACGGAGAAGCCCAAAAAAATGGTTTAGCTGCAAGAAGATTATATGCGGAAAAATACCCCGAACGCAACCTTCCAGACCACAAAATGTTTGCCAGGTTAGAAACTAGTTTACGTCAAAACCCTAAAGCATTTGAAGGTAGGTTTTGTGTTTTTTAATAAATCCCCATAAATTCAATGAGCCAAATTTGCAGGTAAAAGATCAAGAACAAAAACTGTCACGACGGATGAAAATGTGGCAATTATTTTAAATTATTTTAACAATCACCATGAAGCTTCTATAAGAGAGGCTTCAAGAGACTTAAATTTAAATTATAGTGTGATACAAAGAGTTTTAAAAAGCAACAAATACCATGACTATAAATTTCATAATTTGCAAGAACTTTCGCTTAGAGATTTTGAGAGGAGGAAGGATTTTATTTGTCAGTTTTTGGTGTCTTTGGATGACAATCCTAATTTATTTTCTCATATACTATGGACAGACGAAAGTCATTTTGTTAGTCATGGATTACCAAACAAAAAAAATACCCATTATTGGTCAGACGAAAACCCGCGCAAAATCAGACAACATCAAATACAGGGCCACTTTGGCATAAACGTCTGGTGCGGAATAGTCGGGCGGCACTTAGTAGGGCCATACTTTTATGAAGGCGCCTTGACGGGCCCAAGATACTTAGATTTTTTCCAAAATCACCTTCCTCTTTTGCTGGAACATGTGCCACTGCAAATCAGAAGAAACTTATGGTTTCAACTAGATGGAGCTCCTTGCCACAATGCGGTCATTGTTCAAAATTATTTGAATGAAGTCTACCACGGAAGATGGTTGGGGACACACGGGCCCTTGAAATTTCCGCCTAGATCTCCGGACTTGACACCCTTAGATTTCTTTTTATGGGGAATTTTAAAAAATATAGTGTATAAAACAAAATCTAATAATTTAGATATTTTAAAACAAAAAATTATTGATGCGTGCAATGGAATATCTGGTGATGTTTTAAGAAAAGTTACATCTTTCGAAATAAGAAAGCGGTACAATTTATGTGTGGATAACGATGGCGCATATATCGAGCAATTGTTAAAATAAGATTTGTGAATTAGCAATTAATTTTTACTAAATACAGTTCATGTTATTCTTTAATGTTTTATGTATGTTTTATGGGTTGTTAGTGTAAACTTTGATTATTTCCTAAACAATTACATAAGTGTTATTAAATGTAGGAACATCTTGTAAATTGTTTTCTTTAAATCCTAAATTATATTTGTTGTCAATATCAGCATAAAAGTTAGCCTGCCTGATTTAGTGAAATTTAAAAACCCAGCATTTTTTGTATGGCAATCGACAAATTTAAAACATAAAAACTGGTCTGTAATGCTTGAATGGTTTTAGATGGAAAAAAATGGTATTTGAAAAAAGTGTTTCTATTGAATAGATCTTTCAATTTCTGAAATAAAAATGGTATGCTTCTGACAAAAAAAAAATTGAAGCGTATCGACGCCCAGCGTCGCTTATTTATAACTTCCTTATCCATCCCAATTTTAAGCATTAGCCGGCCCAAATAAAATACTTTTCACAAAACTCAATTTGCTGCAGCCGTTTACGAGAAAAACTCATTTCCCATGATAAAAGAATCACCCTGTACACTACAAGGTACATGGGGACTAAAAGGGTTAAAGTATTGTCTTAATTCTAATATAAATTCCCTATGAAGTGAGTTTAAAACAGGGAACGAATGTTTTAATATTTTTTATTCTGCGCCATTTCCATTTAATAAATAATAAATTGTACTGAAACATGGTATTCTTCATTAATAATACTGAAAAAGTAAATACAAAAACGTACAAATAACACTTTTCTTCGACATAAGTTGAAGGATGTTGTGGTTTATTGGGTAACTTTTTGCAAGTGTTGATTCGATGTTAACCTGTGATCAAAGATGACTTTTAAGTATTTGACCTCTTGAAATAATGAAATCTTCACTCCTTTCAGTACTGGTGACTTAAGTCCTGTCAGTACTTTTTGTTTTGTGAAGTTGACTATTGTGGTTTTGTGAGGGCCTACTGTTAGTTCATCCTCTTTTTCCACTCTTCCTTAATGTTTAGAGCGGTTTCTGCGCGCTCCGATATCGTACCTGCAAACTTGTCTATTACGACGATCATTAGGTTATCGGCATACCCTAGGCAGTATAAATCTGGAGATATTAGCCTTTTTATGAGTTCTTCCACTAGGACTGACCAAGGGAGAGTACTTCTTTTTTTTTTTTTTTAAGCTGAAGGGTGAGAAAAAGTCCTTTATATCTCACAAGGAAAGCCAATGTTTAATTGTTTAACAAAACATTGAGTGCGACCGGTTTCGAAGTGTCATCACTTCATCTTCAGGCTCGCCTAGTGGAAAGGAGAATATGTGGTGTAAGGTGTGTTG